TTTCAACCCAAGATTACAAACTTCGACCATTTTAAACTGCTAACTAGCTGACATTAAAGGATGTGTAAACGTCCACAAAAGAAAACTTCTATATACTCGATATGATGGAACCACTGGAAAGCTTAAGATAAACAAAAAGAACAGAAAGAATTACATTACAAGCTCCTCTCTTATTTTTCATGGCAGGTAAAACACTTGTACTTAAAAAGTTCAAGTTATCCAAGTCCAACAACCATTACAGGCGACTAAAAAATAAGAAGTAGAAAAATCTATCTACAAGACAGAAACCCACACTTTTGATACAGATCATCTCCTAGACCAAAAAAAAGTTGTAACAACACTTTTGTTTTAAACAATGGGTAAAACGTTTATAAAGTGACAAACAACTGGGTTCCCCGTAAAGAGGTAAAAACACCCTTTTATTTCACCAAAAGAAGTGATAAACAACTAAAAACAACAAAAAAAAAGGTTAAAAGTTAAAAGAAATGTAGTGTATAAAGGCTTACTTGTGGCAGATCATCTTGTCTTGGTTATCTTATACTTACGAGTCAATGCCATTAGCGAAGGTTCAATGATACCTCCCTAAGCCTCAAACATATGTATTTTTGAGAATTTCAAAAAGCTTTTCTTACAAAAATCTATATTTTTTTAAAAAAAATCTAGTTGTTCTATAAATATTTAATTAATTAATTTTATCAAGTTAAACGGATTATTAGGGTCTCCAATAATTGTTAGATAACTTCATTTAATAAATGGATCTTAATAAAACTATTCATTTAGATCCCATTAAACTAAACAAGTCTAAGAGCATCTCCAAAAGAAACTTTATAACTTTAAATATAAAGTTTTTTTTGTCTTCCAAAAAGGAACTTTAAAATTTTAAAGTTAGAGTTTTGAGAAGTGAAACTTCATATCTGAAATTTTACTCCTTAAAACTATTATTTGAAGTTTCAAATTTTTATTTGCATTTTGGTCCTTACAATTAATTATATATCACATTTGTGACTTTTAAGTATTTTTTCTTTATCATTTTAATCGTTAAAATTTGTATATCTCATAAATATTTGATGAAACATAATTTTTGCATAAATTAAAATATTACAACAACACTAATAATATGGTAAATTTGAAACCTTCAAAGTCTCCAAAATATTATCCAAATAAATTTTGTGTAACTGAAGATATAGCATTACAGAAATAACTTTATGGAATAATGTAGTATTTCACTTGCAATTTTATATTTAATTATGTATTTATATTTCAACTTTTAAATTTTAGTGTAAGATTTTATTAATTAATATTGTTTTATGTTTTTATATATTCACTAATTATTTATAAAAATTGTAGGGATTTACATTAATTGTGATAAATATAAGGACCATATAATAAAAAATAAATTTTTTTAAGGTTAATTTGAAGTTTTGTTTTTGGAGAAAAATACCTTGAAACTTAAAAATAGAGTTTTGCAAACTCTAAAATAGATAATTTTTTGGAGATGCTCTAAATGATTATTTATTTATATTAAAAGCTCATTTAAAATCCAATAAGAAATCCTGTTTTAACAACGCAAAAGTTTGAAATCTCCTTAAAAAACTATGGCCTAGTGAAAATTAGATGTTAAACCCTAAATCATTCAGTTGCCGTAGCACACACGTGTAGGAATTTCAAAAAACTTTCTTAATTAATATTGTAGTCAGCCAAGGTACGGCCATCCTCGAGCTGTTTTGGGCGAAGATCAATCTTTGCTGATCCGGAGGGCTACCTGAGAGAATAAATTGAAGCAAATAGTTATCAATGGTGCCTATAAGATCTCACTTAACACAAGATGACGGACCAATTGTACCCCAAAGAGGAGTTGATGTAATAAAAAAAAAAAAAATACCTTCCTTGTCTTGAATCTTATCCATCACATTGTCGATGGTGTCGCTGCTTTCTACCTCGAGAGTGCTGGTCTTACCAGTTAGGGTTATCACAAAGATCTGCATTTTCCCACGATTTTTTAAATGTGCCACAGAGAAGACAGCCGGAATAAAAGTGATTATAATTTTATTTTTTTGTTGGCTTTCTTGCCTTTATTGTTATAGTTACCCACCCGGTATAGTCGTGGCTGTGATTCTAGGAGTATCTTGCTCGATGGTGTTACTTTTTATTTATGCATATAATCTCTGCAGTGAGGATTGGGCTCCCCTTCTTCCTGCTTAATTCTCTTTTTCTTTTTCGAATATGAAAAAGCTTCTAATGGTATTAAAGCCATCAAAATAAAGTAATGGTATTGTAAGTCCTTGTAAAAGACTCCACGTATTGAGTTTAATTACATGTTAACCTCTTAGCTTTTACCATTTATTTGAGGCTAAATTTAGCTATAAAATTACTCATATCTCAGTGACACACGTATCGGTGCCTTAGAGGTCGTTACTACTTTGAATGGTGGTGGCCCTTTACTTTGAAAAGGCTGCGCATGGAACAGAATCTGTAACTTATCAGAAACAACTACAAAATTGAGACAAATGAGAATAATTCTTTCAGGTCTAACAGTTTTTTTTATGATCATTTGTTTGGAATTGAAACCTTCTAAGCAACTTCTCGGTTGACATACTCATCTCAGCAGACTAAGGCACGTGAGGTAGGCATTCATCTTCTCATACGTTTCAATAGCTTTTATATAGTCATGAATGACTAGTACGAATTGCATTCAACTTTGAGATCGAATTAAATGAAACACTGCATTCGACTTTAAGCTGGAGTTAAATGAATCTGAAGTAAATAGGAGAGAAAATGCAAAATAAATAACTAGCAAATTAACGATAACACAAACGTTCATTAGTCACTACCACTTTTTATCATTACCAAAACTCCAAATGCAAAAAGTTTACAACGTTGAAGAAAGACAAAGCTTATAATGTTTTACGAAGCAACTTGAAAAGATGAAACTGGAGAGAGACAAAAACTAACTTCAAAGTGTGTACCCAAAGAAACTACAAGAGTCAAAGGGTCACAAACTGAACAATGATGAAGCTCATTGAGAAATCAAAGTCTTCTTCCTCTGCGTCCACCCTTCCTACGTGTACTATCGGTGGGAACTGGAGTCACATCCTCTGCAAAATACATTCAAGATTCCTCTCAATTGTCTGAAACTATCAAAACTAACAATATATAAACTAGATAGAGATTCAGCTTTCAGTGTATTACCGATACGACCAATCTTCATGCCAGAACGAGCAAGGGCTCTAAGAGCTGACTGAGCACCAGGGCCTGGAGTCTTGGTTTTGTTTCCTCCTGTTGCACGGAGCTTCACGTGCATGGCTGTGATCCCAAGCTCCTATCACATATGACATTAAATATTATTTTAAGATGAACATAACATCAAGAAGCATATTAAAAAAAGCAAGAATCAAGAACAGTTTGCTGACCTTGCATCTTTGAGCAACATCTTGAGCTGCAAGCATAGCAGCATAAGGAGAAGACTCATCACGGTCAGCTTTCACCTTCATCCCACCTGCCAAAAATTAATGATCCATTTCGCATAATCATATACCAAATAGAAAAAACTTCTAGACAAACATAAACAGGATTTAATAAGAGATGATATCATACCGGTGATACGAACGAGAGTTTCTCTTCCAGACAGATCAGTCACATGCTGCAATAAAAAAAATTAACAACAAGAACAACATCATGAGTCGAATTAACTCTACAGAGAATAATAATTATACTAATTGTACAATCAAATGAAGACAACTTACGATGAAAGTGTCATTGAAAGAAGCAAAGATGTGAACAACACCGAACACTTGTTCACCGTCACGAACAGCTGGTCCGAGAGTGACGGTTTCCTCCTTGGGCTCTCTGGTCTTTCTCCTCGACTATTTAAAACAAACAGAGAATCGTTCAGTGATCTAACCACAATGACCGGTACACACCACACCATCACTTTTCAAATACATAATATATAACCAATCAGGCAACTGTTTCGCATTTTAGCTCAAACATGATTAAGACAATCAATCTCGTCACTCACAGTAATAGACTTTACGACAACAAAAACTATGTGAGATCTAAGACATGATCTAAAGCACAGAGTTCGAGTATTCTAAAGAGGTTACCATGTTCGCAAAAATGGATGAGTAGAGACGACTTGAAGGTGGCAGTGGAAACAAAGAAAGACTCAATCCGGCGATAACAAACACCCTTTTATATATATTAGGGTTTCACTTGAAACCCCCTATAATAATTGACGTTATTACCCTCATTTCCTACGCGACGTCGTTTCGACGTCTTCGATTATTATACAAAAACTTCTTGCAACACTTTCTCACAAATGATTTGATAAAGAAACCACTGTTTTTAAGCTTGAACTAGATCATAACCCGTCCGACTGGGCGGGTCTTTGTTTTTATGGTATATATAACATTTCAAAATTATAATTTAATGGTGCTAATTTTACTAAGTAATAGTATATTATTTAAATATTGTATTTCATTATTGTATTGTGTAACAGGGGCGTCTTAAAATATTGTGACCCGTAAACATTTTAATAATATTTTAAAAAGTTTTTTGACTAAATTTGGTGTAAAGTTATATACACTAAATAATTTAGTCAAATTTTTAATTTAATTTTTTAATGAAGAATTGAATGCTAGTATATCACTGTTAAAAACTTATAAGAATACTCAATATAAATTATATAAATAAAATATATATTATTCTTGATTTATTCTAAATACATTTAAAACATGAATACATATATGTATAAATAATTTTTAGAAGTAAAGTAATATCAATGATAGAAAATCCAAAAAAAAATAATGGTACCTTGGGCCGTAGTAATCTTTAGTATAATAAATAAACCCATTAAATTTGTATGATATCCATGTTTCCAATCAAAATTTTAAAATTTTCTTATTCATGTTTCCAAACACTTTATTTTTGTACTTCAGCTTTAATAGTATTCTTGCAACACTTTCTCACAAATGATTTGATAAAGAAACCACTGTTTTTAAGCTTGAATAGGCACAGACAAAAACCACTAATTACATAGAAAGCATTAATACTTGTTTCCAACATTTTACACAAGAAGATCCTTTAAGGAGATATTCCTAATTCTTTCAAGGCCTCTTCAAAGAGCACAGACAAAGGTGACATGGCTTGTGAAACTAAAGCAACATCACATCGTTCAGGTTTCGAGTACTTCTTCAATACACCTCGTAACTTGCCCATCCCAACTCTCAAGTGATTTAAATCTAATAGCTCTGAGCATTTCCTGAAAGTTACAAAAAGATATCAATAATGATGAGTTTCTACTAAGCTTGAGAGTTTCTAAGAAGAGTATATATGTATATAAGACTAACATGAGCTGATGTGAAGAGTAGCCGGTGTGGAACTTCAGAGTATCAGTCCAAGCAGGTGTCTTGTTCAAGAAGCATCTCGCAGTGAAAACTGCTGAAGCAGCCAACAAAGAAGAGCTGAACTTTAAGCTGTCGTAATGCATCATACCCAACTCAGCTAAGAAGTGAACCATGTTCTCCATCTCCGGGTCAGGGTTCCCCGCTTTGATGAACCTTGCAAGGAACACGTACTGCGTTGGAACTGTCAAGTACCATTCCAAATTTCCCAAAATGCTTTTCTCCATCACTAGAACCTGCTTGTCGTTGTATATGTTGTCTGTGAAATATACCAAGTCATTGACCTGTTTTTCATTTCACTTCGTTTTAGCTCTAATCGACAATAAAAAAAAAAAAACTAGGATATGTGTTACGTTACATACCTTAGGAGGCCAGATCTCTTCGTATTTGGAAGCTATGAGCAAAGCAGTAACACCTAGAAGCTGTAGTTCTCTTCTCGGAACAGTTTTCAGAGACAGGAAACGATCAGTTATGTTGACGGTTAGGTAAAGCGTCTCAGGGGAGAGATCAAACTTGCTATGAACTTCTACAAGCCAGTCTATGAGAATTGATCTCATCTCCTCACTAAACTCAGGCTGTGTTTGCATATACATCTGAGGCTTGCTCTCATTCTGAAACACAGAACGAAACAAAAAAACATTTTACAAAGCTTGTCCATAAGCATATTAAAATCGAGAGGGTCTAAGTACCTCAACTTCTCTGTAGAAAGTGTACATGTCCTCAACATACTCCACAGCAGCAAGATCATTGTCTTTGTCGACATAGTCAATATCAAGAGTCTTGGAAGCAGCTGCCTAAGAGTGTCAGTGATTCAACCAATAACAATAAGGCTCTTCTATGGATATCATAATTAATAATAATAAAAAGAAAAAGAAACAAAGAATCTACCTTGCTACGTGCAGTAAGAACAGAGGAGTATGTAACTTTCTTCTTAAGCGCATCATCGTTTTTATCATTTTTAGTTTTTGCAACCTCGTTAGTATCTGGACTGATCACAATCACTTCAATAGGTTTATTAGCTTTCTTTTGAACCGCCTTTAGAGGTTCTGGTTTCTTGGGATTAGCACCATCAAGTACTGAAGCTTTCTCCACCACATTGATCTGCTGTTTTGTAAGGAATAGAGACCAAACAAAAGAATCAGTTTCAAGAAACTTTTTTTGATAAATTGTGGTGAGGCATCTAATATGAAGAATAAGATGATTAAAAATAGTTCTCATAATTATTAAAAATCCAACTTCTCCATTTTCTCACACAAATAAGTTCTGACAAGTTTAAATCATCCTAGTTCTTACAAGTTTGAAATATTCAAAAGAATCAATTTCAAGAAACCAAAATTTTGCAAAAAAAAAATTACAAAAAAAATTGAACCTTTTTGTTAGTAACTTGTGTGTTTCCGATGTCTCCAAGAGCGCGACGACCATCTGTAGAGTTACGGATCAAAAAAAAAATGTTTGAGAGCATTAAAATTAAATCTCTGATTTTCAATATTCACATGTAAAATTCAAAAAAAGAAATCAGAACGTTGTGTGTGAAGTAAAACCTCTAACTTGTTGAGGAATAGCTTGTCTCGTATCCATGATCGTTCGCTTTCAGATTCTGTTTTTTTTTTAAAACTCTTTCCCTTCCTTTTTTTTGTTTATCGCTGTGGAAAAATATGAGAAGAAGGAGAAAGCTAGAGAGAGTGTGCTTCTTTTATACGATAAAAAGAAACTCCAACGGTCAAAATTTTGAGGAGGCTTGGGTTTTTTTAACCCTTAGATCATTAAATTTTAAATCCAACGGTGGATAAGTAAAGATCCGTTCTCTCCCTCATAAAAAGTTGTTATTACCGTTGCACTGTAAGAAAATCAAATTTGTTTTCCTTTAATGTCCCTGGTCGAAGGTTTTAATTCTTTTATTTTCAGCTAATTACTAGTTTTGAAAAAAAAAACTAATTATGTACTAGCTTTGAGCGTTGATAATAAATAGAATTAAGGGAAACAAACATGTGAAATCACGTTTACTTGACTTGTTTCAAGAGTGAAAAAAAGAACTATAAAGAAAAATATCAGGTTCACTATGTTGAATTAAAACTTGTTTACACATACACTGACTGATACAAAGCTTTACAAAAGAGGAAGAAGAGAAGAGAAAGAAGAAACAAGACTTTCTTCAGCACCTTAACTTCGGGTTCATAGTTACCTAATCTTCTTCACACTTCATCCAAGACTAATTAGTAAATTATCACCAACACCAACTTATCTGTTAGTACTGTTACCAATCATAATCATCGAGGCTAGCCCGGTGAAAACACATGACAGTGCAGATGAATATGAAGAACGATGTGAACTCTATGAGCATTGCACCCGTCTCGATCATTCCTGCATGCCTTAATATGATTGGAATCGCGAGGCTTCCTACCGTTGATGCTCCTGTCATGAACTTTGCTGCATCTATCCAACTGCGTTTAAACAAGGAGCAAATCTGATGATTGATGTATTGTAATTTTGATTTAGCAGTGAAGTATAAAGTTTAACTAACCCTCCACCATCTCGACTAATTAGGAATTGTGTTGAACCTCCTCCAAAGAACATACAAGGCATAGGCACAACCACATACATGAGTGCTGATAGCATTGGCCACCAGTTACTATATAGTGCACACGCCTGGCCATCAAAAACAAATAGTTACTACCACTATATCTCCCAGTTACTAGAATTTTTGTGTTAGTGAATGATACTACAATCTACTAAGAATGGCAATCATATGATAAACTTATCAAATATGAAAAATCTGATGAACAATATGATATATGCATTGGTTAGCTTTTCTCGGTTATCTTCCTATATCTACTATAGGTATCTGAATAGGGTTGCAGTTGAATTTGTCAGCTTAGCATATACTAAAAGTCTACGTTGGTTAGAGCGAAAACGTGACAAGGATAAGAATTCTATATGTTATATTGGTTTTGAATGGTTTTTGAGGTCCAGAGGGCTATTTAATCAACATACAAGAGAGTAAAACACAAAACTTTAGAATATGCAGAACAGCACAAGGTTCATATGTTATATGATTTTTTACTGGAGAGAATATAATCCCCTATATATTAATTGAGAAACATTTAAAAAGTTGTAACCTTAAGTTTGTAATAATTAAAAATAACATTAATCATATGTGGCATAGCTCTCTGGCTTCTATTTCAAATCCCAAGGATTCTAGAGCATGTGATATAATGTATAGTCTAAAATTTATACTCTCTAGCAATGTAATATTTCGGGTGCTATAGTTGGTCGCATATATCAAATATTTATTGTTTCGCATGTTTTCCTTAAATAAAACCTACGGAATTACCTAATGTGATTAAAATATATATATGAAATTAATGATTTTAAACAATAAAGATTTGATAACAATCTGTATATTTTTTTCTTTTTGTTTCTTTCTTTATTATTAAAATAAATTATACAATTACATTAATCATATAATAAAAATCTAAATTTTTTTTTGTGTATGTTGTATTTCGAATTTTTGAAAATGAGTATAAATTACTAAAACTGTTAAAAGTCTCACATAAAATTTTAGGATCAAGGTTTTAATTTTTTTCTATATTAAAATATAATGATTATAAGACCATATAAAGAAATAATTATAATTTATATATACTTCATATCGTTTTAATTAAACTATACATCGTATGAAAATACATACTTATATTTTGATATTTGAATTGAACATATATTTAAAAGTTAATATTTTAATTTTGAAATATGTCATTGTTATTTTTAAATGAATATAAATTATTGAAAATACTAAACATCTCACATTAAAAAAAATTCACTGGTGTAAAGTTTTGTTATACAAATATGCAAATAATCATAAAATCATATGAGTAGAAACCTTATTTAATAAATATCCATATTGAAAGTGTGCTATATTAATATGTTTATATAATTTAAATTTAAATTATATATCATATACAATATATAAGATTGATTATTTTGATTTATTTACCCTAATTGCGAATAAACAAGAGTGATAGTTTAATTTATATGCATATACTAATTTATTACATAATAGTAACTGATTGCTTAGTTATTTAATATATATATATTTATTATTTATATTTTATAATATGCAGAAAAATATAAAATAAATAATAAATATAAAATATTTATTGTGCATAAAGTGCAGATCTTAACCTAAGTATGTATCTCTTTAATTATTTTAAATTTTAAGTATTTTCTAAACCCATGTCAAACAAACAAACGAAATGAGAATAAACTTCAAAATAAATATTTATATCGAGTAATAACAAAAAAAAAACACAACAAGAAACAAATTGAAGATAAATAGCATTGACACATGATCGTAAACTTCTCATAACCATAATTAGATTTTAAATTGTTAAATCATGATATAAAACTAAGTTAATGTTTAATTTGTTAATTTTGAAATTTTTAAATTTTTTAAATCACTATGGTTATGTTAAATTATGACCATAATTAGTTTTTAATTGTTTATTTGTATTTGAAAAACTTAAAATATTGTTTTAAAAATAACTTAAAATTTAACTTAATTTTTTATAAAATTGTGTTTTTAAAAATTGTAAAAAATATAATTTTCTAATATTATTAGACAAATAAATAAGTTATATTAAATTAGTTTTGAAACTTATATATTTTAAATGCAAATATTTTACCAACTGCTTCTTAAGAAAGCATTAGAGAACTTGTTAATATTCTACCAATCAAGCTCAGTGACAGTCCGTTTACTTTCCTTCACTCGGACATTGAAAAATGAAAAGATATATGAAGTCGGTCCATTAAATTCTAAGATTTGATCTACAGTTCTAATTACAATTGTCTATGATCCTACGTATAGATAATTATATAAAAAATCTAAAATTTTAAAATTTTAAATACATATAAAAAGAATTATATGTAAATTTAAATTTGTCAATATTAAAATTTTATATTTTAACTACATGTATTCGCCCTGAACCAAAGACAGCAGTTTAAGCAAGTTCCAAAAGAAACCCACATCGGAACATGAAACAAAACAGCAAACAGTGAGTGGATTTAAACAATTCAAACCCTAGCTCAATAAAATTAACAAATAAAGAAGCTTAAACAAATCTGATTCGAACTAAAAAAATATAATAGAAGAGAAAGGAAGGTGAATGACTGATTGATTACCTTCGATGGTCATAGCCATGTCTGATCAACGGAGATCGACTCTTGATTCGCTCGCCGGTGGACTGGAAGGAGAAGAATGATTGACTCGGCGATTTGGGAGCAGAACCGAAAAATCAGACTCGTTACTTACCCAAAAAATTTTACCATCAAGTTTAAGATATATACTAGATTTTGACCCGCGCAACCGCGCGAGTATTTGTTTTCGTTTATAGTTAATTATATAAACATTTTGTTTTCACTTGTAAATTGGTATATATTATAGTAATCACATATTTACGATATATATAATTAATGTTTTTCAAACATAATAATGCTATATAATACGTGTTTATATCAAATAAATTATTTAAAATTTTCTATATTATACATGTTTTTCTAACATGTGTTTGTTTCTTCTTATATATTTTATTGTTTGTTAGATTAGTATTTCATTTTTAGATAAATTAATATAAATAGAACTTGTTTAAATATTAGTATACTTTAATTTGCAAAGATAATATAAACTTCGAAGAAATTTTTGCTAAAAACTAAATTTATAGCTTCATAAATTAATATTATAAAGAATTTTATTAAAAAAATATTTTTAAATTTTTTTTTAAAACAATATAATTTAAAAAATTTACATCGAAATAAATTTATCTAGCGTGTAAACTTTGTTAGGATATATAAATATTCCATCTTACGAATATGTGATTTTTGTTAATATATTGTAGATGCATTTAACTATTATTGACATATTCCCTTATAAATAATAGAAGATTACTAAACTTATATCTATTGACATATTTTACGTGACTAAGTTGGAAGGTGTGAGATAATTTACCAAAACGAAATTGTTAAGCGTATATTTGTTACTATAGATATAATTTTTCATAAGATATAATAATGATAAGATTATTAGAGAGTTAATGTAACATGACTTTCTAGTAATAGTCCATTTTAAAAAAAATCACACATGAAGTCAAGTCACGACTTCTGTTTTAATATATAAGATTTTAAGATATGAAAAATATTTGATTTACTGTATAAACATTAAATATTATTTTTTGAAATTTTATATATATATATATATATATATATTAATTTTATTATATTATTTGGTGTATATAATATATATATATATATATATTGTATAGAACTTAAATGTGATTTTAAATACAATATTACTAAATCTCATCAAAAGTATATAAAAATATATAATGCATCAAGAAAATATAAAGATAATTTCATTGTAAATATAAAACAAACAATCTAATATAGGTTCTTAATTATATAAAATATGTATGCATATAAATTATCAATTTAAAAATTTAATGGGACCATATATTTACATTGATTTTTTTTTTAAATATCTATTACATTAAAAGAGAAGTCATGACTCATTTCATGTGTGATTTTTTTTTATTTGGACGATTAGCGAAAAAAGATTTATTAAATATATTTCATTTCTTTGTAACCACTTCAATCATAATATCTTTGATATCTTTTTATTTTAATATAAATATGTATTAATTCTTTTTAAAAAATCTGTTGAAAAGATTTTAGCAAGATCTTAACTTTAAAAACATTATATAAATATTTCACTAATTAATAACTTGAATAAAATTTCGAATTAGTAATGAAAATAATTATACATTAATATATATATATATATATGAAAACAGATTTTATTATTTTTATCTATTTAATAATCATAGACTATCAAATTAAATGAAATTAGTATAATAAAGTGAATGTTATAAAATTATATTAAATTGATAAATTAATCAACTTTGTTTTTCATAAATAGAAAATATTAATGTTAAAAATATATAATATATTGGCAGAACGGATTAACATTAGTAACTACAAATACATGTATAAAATTAACATATCTTAAACTTTTATAATATCATATTTTATTTATAAACATAAAAAGTTTAATAAATGGTAATCTAACTTTGAAACTCAAATAATAATTTAGTATAAATTATATATAAAATAATTTTCAAATATGATTTTTCATGCATATATTAATATTAATAATTAAATATAAAGCCAATTAGATAAATATATAATAAGAAACAATTGATATTAACGTACAAGCTATAAAACTATTGTGTTTGTAATAGTTATATAAACATTTAAACATATGACTAATGTTATTAATGATAGAAAACAAATATATATATATGAAAACAAAACCCGCGCGGTTGCGCGGGTCTAAATCTAGTTATCTTATTATTTTACTTGTCAAATTTGAACCAACCCAAATTGGGACCGATAAAGTATATTAATTTATAGAGATTATTAATTTATCGAATATTAATTTATAGAGATTCTATTGATAATTTATGAATTTTAGATCGATTACTCCGGTTTGAATATTATTTTAATATAAACAATAACTATCTGCTGAAATTTCAGGTCTAGTATCTCTCCGTTTTTTTATAAATTTAGAATTCAGATACAAATCAAAATTTAATACTGTTGGATAAAATATCATAACTAGGAAAATTTATTATTTTGGAAAATTATTTAGATTATTCAGGTAATTTTAGAAATTTCAGGTAAGATTATTTAGGTAATCCTTTTTACGTAGTTTGGTTTATAAATAATATTTTTTAGAATATTTGGTAATTTTAAAAATAAATTATGGTACATAAACTATATTGGATATCCTGGTATTCATCCGATTTTTATTTTGAATTCAGTTTTAAATTTTTGGTTCCACATATATAGCAACCGTTTGGATATTTGAGAATACTAATTCGATGTCTAATTCAGTTTTTTTGGCTTCAGTTCTGAATTAGTTTATAGTTTTCTATTTAAAATTATTTTCTCTCAATATATTTACAAAGTTTCAATCATTTACTTATATATTAACTATTTTAAAACATAAAAACATATTAACTACTTATCTTTGTTGATATTTGTGTAAGAAAATTTAAATCTTTTCTTTGGAAAATGTTGTGTTTTGTAAGCGATTGAACATCATGTTTATAATTTTAAAACGACATAAATAATATTAGTGTAACTTATATAGTTTTAGTTAATCATTATACATTCTTTATAAAATCAGATTAATATATTTTTTTAAATTAAGTGTTTATAACCAAATTATTTATTAGCAAAAAAAAATAGATCAACACTACTAAATGTTAGCGAATGAGATCTGCATGCAGATTTTGTTTTTTTACAAAAACACAAAAAAATATTGAACTGCATTCCGACGTCCCACTCGAACTGCTTTTACAAATAGAAAAATGTGAATGGTGAATTCAATGTGGGAGAACTACATGTGCGAGAAAACTGTACTAGTCCCGCTAGTCCATTTGAACACTGTTCATGTCTATGTGGAGTCGAGGTTCTAACCAATATTCTTATTCTTTTTTTTCTAATTAGTACTAGTGATTTAGGATAGTTGAGAGTCTTTTACGAAAATTTTATAATAATCACTGCTCTTACTAATATATAAAAGAAAAAAAAAAAACCAACCTGAGAAATGGGCGGCTAATATGATGTTCGGCCCAAACGTTGATACAATATTCATCAAACTAAACCGGAAAAAAAACTACAAGTAGGGTAAATCAAATTGCACTCAAGAAAGAGTACAAGTCTACTTGCTTGGTCTTCACTCTATCACGATTAGCTCTGTCTCTGTTTGTTTTTCAGGCATTTAACCGTCAGCACCTATGGCTCGTGGTGTATGGTACACAGTAACCAGCCCATGCAACATAACTATATCATTGATATCACCATATAGCTCCGGTTGTGTCTCTGCGTACACATCTATTTGGTTCTAAAATATTCGTATAGTACTTCATCAGTTTCCTCACACTTGCATATAATTTATGGAGTAAACATTTAAAATATATAGTTCATATGATCTAGATTATGTAATGAGTGGCAGTGATCGATCTTAAGGAAAACAAAACGTGAAGAAGCACACCATTAATGTCTTACAAACCAAAAAAACTCAAAACAAGTGTTGTTTGATAAACTCACTAAGCGTCCAAGGTTCTCTTTGCAAACTCAACTCCTTTCTCAATGTCTTCAATGAGATCTTCTTTGAGATACTTCAAACACTCAGCCTCATACTTTGTGAGTCCTTCCAAATCAGTCTCAATGAAAGCTTCCACTCCTTTCTTCCCGAGCTTCACAGTTGATCCAAAGAAAGGAATGTCCTCAAACATGGTGGATTCCACAAAACAGCATTGAAACATGCCATCAGCTCCAGCAAGTGCACGGAGCAACGACAAGACAAAACGTTCTGCCCCTTTAGCTTCAAAGTACTCACGATCTGGATTGCCTGCAAAGTAGTCAAGATGTTCACTGCTATTACTTATGGCGTGCGTGATCTCAGAGGTCCACAATATGATGTCGTCCTTGTATAAGATGACATGGGGTCTCGTTTTGGAGAAAAGTGGCAGAGCGGTTAAGCTGCAGTGACCACCGATAACAGGGACGTGTACATCTTCCACATCTAGCACAAACCGCTCAGCAACAAAAGCTCTTGCCAACTCAGTTTCTGGTGTCATGAGACCAAACAGCTTCTTAGGATCATAAAACCCCTCTTTGCTTCAAGACCTCCGCAGCCATTGGTACAATGGAGTTGAGGTTGCGGTTTGACATGAGGATGAAAGCATCGGGGCAGTGAGCAGCCACTTCCTCAACACATGCTCTCACCATCATCCCATTGGCAGTGAAGTTGTCTTCTAGCGTTCCTTCTGCCATTGGAAAAGGAGTGGCAATCACAACCACGTTAGTGTGCTTTAGTGCTTCCTCCAACCCACTGAGATGATCCTGAGAAAGGCTAGCATCAAGACATGCCTTTAGGTGGTCAGAACTTCCTATCGAGTAAAAACGAAGCGATGAGACCAATGGGCTTTCCTTGAGAGAAGTTGACAAAGCTGGTCCAATCCCAAGAGGAGAACCAATGATGGTCACTTTGGAGACATTCTTCACATGTGGGTTCTTGTTGTTGTCAGATGATGCATGTGCTTTTGTGGACAGAGACTTGTTGTTGTAGGAGGAAGTCCTTGATGTAAGAGCGTGAAACTTAGGGGTGGAGTTGAACAAGAACACACTAGCTTGGGAAGTTCTAGGCATTGGAAGTGATGAGCTGGATGTGGACGATGATGGGTAAGAAACTGAGAAGGAAGAGGACACCATTTTTGCCCCTGTTACATGTAAGATTCATATGAGTTCAAACATATACTTTAGTGAAATGGAGGCAACAATCTATCCAAAATATGCCTATATATGTATCAAAACAAAACAAGCAAGAAAGAACTGGAAGCAAGTAACCATCTTTCTATTAATTAGCACGATGATGGAAACCAAAACAAAAATTAGAAAGTTCAACTTTTATTTTTTTTTAGCAAAAACTGTTCACATCCTCAAACATTTTAGGAATCGGATTCATGATGTGAAACATAAAAATAAATAAAAGAAGTAAACTTTTTCAGCCAAAACTGTTCACGGCCTTAAAGATTTTAGGAATCTCGGATTCACGAGGTGAAACATAAAAGAACCCACGAGAAGAAACGCAAACCAGACCGAGAGCATACGATTTATGGGAACCAAATAGCAAACGTAACATCGTAAAAAAGTAAACAAGAACGAACAGGTTGATCATCCGTCGTAAAGAGCAGAAAATAGGAAATATATAGCTCCGAAATCATGTTCATTAAACAAAATATCAATAATTGGAACATTAAATAACAAGTGAAGAAGAAGCCGTGGGTGGTTTATGAAGCAGATCCAAACCCTAAACAGCGAGAAAAACACGTACTATTCCATCGCAAAGTGAGGATGTAATTAAAGAACAAAACTTTGAAAAGGAAAGGAGTTGCAAAAAGAAACCTAAGAGAGAGAGAGTGTTCATCGCTGGAAAACGAAGATGAGAGAGGAAGAGGGTATCCAATTTCAGTAGAAAGCACGAGTCTTTCTTTAGTGGTGGGTTTACAGAGACACTATGAACGAATTAACGAGTCCTTACTGAGTTAGAGACACTACGGTGAATAAAAAAAGAAACTAGTCACCTAAATATCTATCCAGGACCTTGCGCTTTTACAGGTGTCTCAAAAGTTTCTCTTTCGGATCCGGTTTAACCGTGGTTCTTGGTGTGATTTCAACGAGCAAAACCCAAATAAGCTGAAGGGGGCCGCCCAGCTCGCATGCATGATGTTATATTTGTTAATGTTTGATGTGTTGTTAATACAAGAACGTACAGTTTAGCAACGTAATGACCTAAAATGGAAATGTTAAGAATGATGATAGAGCTAAAATGGTTAGTTCCAAGAAATAATTAAATGGTATAATAAGCATGTGATTAATGGTATAATAAGCATGTGATGAGTAGGGTTTTTATATCTTAATGGGCTTAATTAGATACTATATGAAAGAAACGTACAAAGACAACATAATGACGGCATGAAGAGTAGTTTCATGTTAATTAATTGATCAAGTTTCAAATTAAGTATACGAATAAATCGTGAGATGTTATAATTAACGAGAATATATTTGAGCATGTTACTTGTGAAGCAAGTAACAAATGTAGTACTCCCTCTGTTTCAAAATAAGTGTCACTCTAAGCTCGTGCACACGGATTAAGGAAACAATTAATTTTGCATATTTTCTATATAAAAACACAATTACCCATACACCTAACCATATTTCAACCAATAGAAAAATAAATTACATAATAAAGTTAATAAATTTTGCCTTGAAAATCGAAAACGACACTTATTTTGTGACGAAAAATTTTCTCTACAACGACACTTATTATGAAACGGAGGGAGTAACACTTTGTAAGACAAGTCACTTGTTTTGACAATTATTAATTGTATGGTTGTGTGTTGCACTAACATTCCTTATTCCCAATAAGGGAATGTAGATTTTATCGCTGAACTAAACTGTCTTCATTCTTCTTTCTCTATCAGCATTTTGGCATCATGTCTCAAATGTTTCCTAGAGATCGACACCAACATTTAATTTTTTTTTTTCTCAACCTTTTGCTAACATTCAAACTTTCACACCAAAAAGACTACACCTTCCAAAATGCTGTCACAGTCAAAACCAACAAGACCCACTCCGCATTTCAGACCACCAGTAGTAACTTTTAACCAAGACAACTGACCAAGAATGATCAAGACAGAACATTTTAACTCAACTGACTCTTTCATTCAATTTTCAAAACAATCTAGAATTGTGTTTGAAGCACACAACATAGATATTTTGACCTCTGCGGTTTGACTCAGGAACCTCACAATTTTTAAATCCAAAGCTCTAAAAAATTACCTCAACTTCTACTAGTCCAGCATTGTTCATACGCACAAACACTTATCCGTGCCATTCTGCCTTCTCCTCTCTCTCTCTCTCTCTCTGGTGAGTGTCCGCTGACACACACAAATCTATGTCATATACGTACCCTTATCAAAAACCAATTGCAAGACAGGGAGAAAGAAGAGAAAAACTGGAAATATAACAACTGATGGAAACAAATTCAGCACCTTTTCTTTCTCTATCCGAAAAGCATATTAACGGTAGAAAGAACAAGCATGAAAGTGCTGAATGTCTATAATTCAATGTACTGGATATCATCAGTTTGGTCATAAGCCAACCATGATTGACAACACCAATTGGTGGGTATTGGCTCTCAAGGGTTTCACAAAAGAAGAGCCATTTTTCTCGGAAGGAGCATTAGATAGAAGAGTTGTTCAACAGAAAAAAAAAAAAGCATTAGATGGAAGCTTGCTCCAATCTTCTTCCACAAAGGTAAAGAAAGATCACATACTAGAAATCAACAGTAAGTTCAAGTACAGCTCACTTCATTGCCACGTTGCTTGCTGCCGTCCGCATCAACCTCTAGTTTGAAGCCTGAAGCAGCCGTCATGTTTCCCTACATTTCACAAGCCCTAATAAAGAAATCAGGACTTATTAAACTTGTTCTTGCGTCACTATCAAATTAATTTTTTGCTAGCTAACCCTTAAATCGTTGTGGTGTAGATTGTTAACAAGTCAAGGTCAAAAAACCCACCCACTTGAACAAGTTTGTTTTTTTTTTTAACTTAAACGCATTCACCAGATTGCACAAACCACGAGCTATATCCAACAAAGGACTATATCCACAACTTTGCTAAAGCGTCTCTCCACTTGTATAAAATTCAATAAACTCTCTTCTCCTTCTCACCTCCATACCCTCCTCTTTTCCGCCTCCCCGACAGCCAACCGCCAAAACGACGTCGTTTAGTTAGAATTATCTCCGAGGGGATGAATGATCTCTTTGGAGACCGTGTGTGACTATGGGTCTTCAAGATGATTGCACGACTTGGCCTCGAGAGGAATATATTGTACATTCTCCAAGTATCATGACCTCTAATTCGCCGGAAATTTCGAGAACAAATACGGTGTGTCTAGACCGAGTTTATCAGGAGCTCCTAGAGCCGGAGAATGTCGTCGGCGACTATGGTTTGAGGGCCGGGAACATTGGAGATTTTGACCGGAGAGGGTGAAAACAGGTGTCGGAAGTTTTTATTTTACCAAAGTTGTTTTTTTTTATGAAAAAATAATCCTAAGAATGAGTAAAATATTTTTTTCGAAGCCGTGGATACCACACTCCCTAGTGTTAGTGTTTGCCTTCTTTCTTATCTTGGTTTATTAAGCTTAGAGCATTATTAGAGTCTTTAAAAAATGTTTTTTTTTTAATTTTTTAACTATTATAATTTTTTCAAATTAGAAAAAAAAAATCAACCAATCACAGATCACAGTGTCTAGGATCCGTAAATAGTGTAAAAATTCATTAAAAAATCTTTATTTAAAACTTTTAATGATTGAATCCTTATTTTTTTATAGAATTCACTGATTATTTAATTATTTTTCGCTAAAATTTTTTTTTAAAGATTCTTAATGCGGATTTTTTTTTCTAAATTATTGCTTACAAGAATATGAGGATTGTTTCTTATCATGCTTTCTAAAACTTCATTGTTTAAAAATTACACCTTGTATGTTTTAAAATTTTATTGTTTAAAAAAAACTTCCAAAACCATGTAGAGTAATCAGAAAAGCTTTGATTACAGAGATTTGACAAAAAAGCTTTGATTACATAGATTTGTTATGAAAGTAATCACCATAAAAAAGTGGGATAAAATATACCAATTCCCTTTATTTTGCGAGTCGACAAAAAAAAAAAACTAATTTTGTGTTAATAGCAATTTTTATCTAAGAATTAATTTGTTACTCTTGGACCGTTGATTTACCATCAAGAAATCTGAGACAGCAAAGAGCGCTTTTCCTCCTGCTATTTCCAAGTTCCGTTTCGTCTCGTCTGTGTCATCTCTTTTGGGGTTTGCGACTTCAGAGAGAGGCGAATTCTCGTTCCGCCGCCAAGAATTTGATTATCCGATCAGTTCACCGATTATCTCTCAGTCGCATACCATTTCTCACAATCTTCTCTTCTTCAAATCAAAGGATATGGCTGTTTCTGGTGCCATCCCGACGTCGTTATCAAAGCTCCATTATCCATCTTTTTCTCCGACTACGCTGGATTTGTTTGAGATTCATGCTTTTCCGATGAAGAATATGAGAATTGGAGGTGTGATCCAGAGAGTGCGTTGCGACCTTTCTTCCTCCTCCTCCACCTTCTCGGCTTTGCAACAGCTTAAGAAGTCTTCCATTGACAGTAACGAATCGCTGCCTTTCGAGTTCTAAGTCATGATTACATATATGTTTAATGTTGTTTTAATTTTCTCTCTCTCTCTAATGCATAAGGATACACAAAGGAGAGAAGCAGCATTGTTGTGATTGGACTTAGCATCCACACTGCTCCTTTAGAGATGCGTGAGAAGTTAGCTATTCCTCTCGCTGAATTGCCTCAAGCTGTCTCTGAGTTGTGTGGTTTGTATCATATTGAAGAAGCTGCTGTTCTCAGTACTTGTAACCGTATGGAGATTTATGTCTTGGCTCTTTCTCACCACCGTGGTGTCAGAGAAGTCACTCAATGGATGTCTAAGGTTTTTTCTTGTCTCTCTGGTCGTTAGATTTCTCTTACACTAACTACGCTCTAGTTATATGTTGTTTCGATGTGTTTTGGGCATCACAAACTTGTAGCTTTGATGATTATTCAACACTCACAAGATTTGATCAGTATATTCTTCATCAGGACAAAGTTTATAGCTTTGATGATAAATTATTCTATTGAACTCTGTTACAAACACTGGCAAATGCTCAGCGCCGGTCCTGAGATTTTAGGGGTTTAGGCAATTTAATAAAGATTTTCATAATTTTTATTTTATAAATTTAGGATCTTTATATCTATTTTCTTCAAAAAATTTGGGAACTATAGATGAATGTTTCATTTGGTTTTGGACAGACTCTGACATGAAATGCTATTTTTGTTTTGGCAGAGAAGTGGAATCCCAGTTTCTGAGATATGTCAGCATTGGTTTCTCCTGTACAACAATGATGCCACGCAGCATCTGTTTGAAGTCTCATCTGGTCTGGACTCTCTTGTCCTAGGAGAAGGTCAGATACTCTCACAGGTCAAACAAGTCAGAGAAAAATTACGCAGTGGGTTTGGTATGGTTATCCCTGGGCTGTTTGAAAAGGCTATCACTGCTGGGAAGCGTGTTAGAACAGAGACATGTATCGCCTCTGGTGCTGTTTCCGTTAGCTCAGCTGCCGTTGAGCTTGCTCTCACCAAGCTTCCAACAGGATCTGCATCCTCTGCTGTGATGCTGGTTGTTGGTGCAGGAAAGATGGGGAAGCTTGTGATCAAGCACTTGGTTGCTAAAGGTTGTACTAGAATGGTTGTTGTGAACAGAAGCCGAGAGAGAGTTGCAGCTATCCAAGAGGAGATGATGCCACTTGGCGTTGAGATTGTTTATAAACCCTTTGATGAGATGCTAGCTTGTGCTGGAGAAGCTAATGTGATTTTCACTAGCACAGCATCTGAGACACCATTGTTCTTGAAGGAACACGTTGAGTCTCTCCCTCTTATGAATGATGCGAGGCTCCTTGTTGATATCTCTGTTCCTAGAAACGTTGGATCTTGTGTTGATGAACTAGACAGTGCACGGGTTTACAACGTGGATGACCTCAAAGAAGTTGTTGCTGCGAATAAAGAAGACAGGGCGAGGAAAGCAATGGAAGCTAATTATATAATAACAGAGGAGTCTAAGAAGTTTGAAGCGTGGAGGGACTCACTGCAGACGGTTCCAACGATCAAGAAGTTGAGAAGAAAAACAGAGAGAATCAGAGCTGCTTCGGTTGAGAAGTTCATGTCGAGATATGGTAAAGACATGGACAAGAAGACGAAGGAAGCAGTAGATGATCTAACCCGAGGTATGCTGAACAAGATCCTGCACGGTCCAATGAAACATTTGAGATGCGATGACGGTGAGAACAGAGAGCTGCCTGAGACGCTAGAGAACATGGAGGCTCTCAACAGAATGTTTGAACTCGAACTAGAGTTACTCGAGGAGAAGATCAGAGCAAAGATGGAACAAAAATAGAGAGGCATCCGATTTTTCTTATTTACGTAGAAGTCAGACGGCACGCATTTGTTATAAAACAAACTTGTTGAGTCCAGAGTGAACATGTCCTTATTGATTGATGTCTTTGATGACAAGTAAACCACAATTGTTTTATTACCACAGTTTTTTAACTCCTGCGTTCGAAAGAGTGATAATTGGTATGAATGAGCAACCTTTTACAGCCTTTTACATGTTTAGTTTCATGTTTTGATGTTCTTCTCACAGACATGCTCAATGTCACCAATTTTGAAGTTTGTAACCAGAAGAAACCCATCTAGTTACAGGCATTCAGAAAACCAAACTAGAGAAGAAGGAGAAAGCTAGAGAGAGTGTGCTTCTTATACGATAAAAAAAACTCCAACGGTAAATTTTTTTTGAGGAGGCTTGGGTTTTTTTAACCCTTAGATCATTAAATTTCAAATCCAACGGTGGATATGGAAAGTTTAGGAGATTATTCCTGCTAAGAATTGCGTTACTCTGACGGTAAAAATTTAAGTAAAGATCTGTTTTCTTCCTGGTAAGAAGTTATTGTTACCGTGGCACTGTAAGAAAATCAAATTTGTTTTCCTTTCATGTCCCTGGTCGAAGGTTTTAATTCTTTTATTTTCAGCTAATTACTAGTTTTAATTACTAGTTTTGAGCGTTGATAATAAATAGAATTAAGGGAAACAAACATGTGAAATCATGTTCAAGAGTAAAAAAAGAACTATAAAGAAAAACTACATCATATTTGTTTTCCTTTCATGTCCCTGGTCGAAGGTTTTAATTCTTTTATTTTCAGCTAATTACTAGTTTAATTACTAGTTTTGAGCGTTGATAATAAATAGAATTAAGGGAAACAAACATGTGAAATCATGTTCAAGAGTAAAAAAAGAACTATAAAGAAAAACTACATCATAACCCGCCCGACTGGGCGGGTCTTTGTTTTTATGGTATATATAACATTTGAAAATTACAATTTAATGATTCCAATTTTACTAAGTAATAGTCTATTGTTTAAACATTGTATTTTATCACTGTCTTGTGTAACATGGGCGTCGTAAAATGTTGTGACTATATCATTGTTAAAAACTTATAAAAATATTCAATATAAATTATATAAATAATATATATATATTATTCTTGATTTGTTCTAAATACATTTAAAACATGAATACATATATGTATAAATAATTTTTAAAATTAAAGTATTATCAATGATAGAAAATTCAAAAACAATAAGAATAGTATATTGGGCCACAATAATCTTTAGTTTAATAAATAAACCTATTAGATCTGTAGATTATCCTTTTCCAATCATCATAATTTTAAATATTTCATATTTATATTTCCAAACACTTAAATTTTTGTACTTCAGCTTTAATAGTATAGATATCAAGTTCAGTATGTTGAATTAAAACTTGTTTACACATACATTGACTGATACAAAGCTTTACAAAAGAGGAAGAAGGCGACTTTTCTTCAGCACCTTAACTTCGGGTTCATAGTTACCTAATCTTCTTCACACTTCATGCAAGACCAATTAGTAAATTATAACTACCACCAACAACTTATCTGTTACCAATCATAATCATCGAGGCTAGCCCGGTGAAAACACATGACAGTGCAGATGAATATGAAGAACGATGTGAACTCTATGAGCATTGCACCCGTCTCGATCATTCCTGCATGCCTTAATATGATTGGAATCGCGAGGCTTCCTACCGTTGATGCTCCTGTCATGAACTTTGCTGCATCTATCCACCTGCGTTTTAAGAAGGAGCAAATCTGGTGATTGATGTATTGTAATTTTGATTTAGTAGTGAAGTATATAGTTTAACTAACCCTCCACCATCTCGACTAATTAGGAACTGTGTTGAACCTCCTCCAAAGAACATACACGGCATAGGCACTACCACATACATGAGTGCTGATAGCATTGGCCACCAGTTACTATATAGTGCACACGCCTGGCCATCAAAAACAAATAGTTACCACCACTATATCTCCCAGTTACTAGAATTTTTGTGTTACTCACTGAATGATACTACAATCTACTACGAATGGCAATCATATGATAAACTTATCAAATATGAAAAATCTAATGAACATTATGATATATGCATTGTCTAGCTTTTTCTCGGTTATCTTCCTATATCTACTATAGGTATCTGAATAGGGTTGCAGTTGAGTTTGTCAGCTTAGCATATACAAAAAGTCTACGTTGGTTAGTGTAGAAATGTGACAAGGATAAGAATTCTAAATGTTACTTTGGTTTTGAATGGTTTTTGAGGTCCAGAGAGCTATTTAATCAACATACAAGAGAGTAAAACACAAAAATTTAGAATATGCAGAGAACAGCACAAGGTTCATATGTTCTAAGATTTTTTACTGAAGAAAATATCTACCATATATGTGAAATGGACCAACTTAATAACTCTGCTTGTTATACTCAACTCTTCAGATCAAAGCAAAAATTTCAGCTTAAAATAGACAAGTAAGCACATAAGTAACCAAACGAAAATGATGTAAGCCTTAGCTTACAGAAATGAAGCTAATAAGTGATGATCGTGAGCAAGCAGGAAGGAAGTATGATGAAGCTTAAAGAGTAATAAGTTGAAGACTGCTATATATATAACATTACCAGGATCTGTAGGAGGATACTAGATGAAAACATGAAGGCAAGTCCAGCAAGTCTGTGTATCAAGAAAACAAAACAAAAATTCTGTAAAGATCAAAAGAAACACTGACTCTAATGTAATAACAAAGTAACAGAAGAGCTTCAAGTCTTGAACTTACACTGAACCAAAGACAGCAGTTTAAGCAAGTTCCAGAAGAAACCCACATCGGAACATGAAATAGAACAGCAAAAAAATGAGTGAATTTGAACAATTCAAAACTCAGAAACCCTAGCTCACTAAAATTAACAAATAAAGAAGCTTTAACAAATCTGCTTCAAGCTAAAAAAAAATATAATAGAAGAGAAAGGAAGGTGATTGAGTGATTGATTACCTTCGATGGTCATAGCCATGTCTGATTAAAGGAGATCGACTCTTGATTCGCTCGCCGGTGGACTGGAAAGAGAAGAAGGATTGACTCGGCGATTTGGGAGCAGAACCGAAAAACACCGTGTCAAACTCGTTACTAATCCAAAATCATGACCGGATAAAATTGGTTTTCTTTTTTTTTTTTTCATTAAACTGATTCCATCCTTTTGGTTTGGTTTGGTTTATTTTTGGTTTTAATTGGGTTCTCAAGGTTATCAATTTTTTTAATGATTTTTTTTTAGTTATTTGATCATGAATTTGGAGAATATGTATTACTTCATCATGAATTTTTAGTTATATATAATTTAAAATATAGAAATGCGTGTGCTGAAATATATATTGGCAAATAAAAGCAAAGAAATAAAGTAACAGACAAATGTAAATATTTGTTATTTTGAATATGTGTGAAATTTCAGAATATTAATTTTTAAATATAGAAATAATCGTTTTGTGTTGTGATTTTGATATGATGATACTCACATTTTTTATTATTATAGATTATATATAATTTGTGATTGTGGAAATATGATTGAATTTAGCATGATTACATAAATATTCTAATTTCTGTAAATTTATTAGGGTATGTAGTTATATAGGATAATTCTCTCAGATATTCTTTTAAAATTTTTTGTTACAAATATAGTATTTAAAAAATAAAATAATCAGAATAATATTTTTTATTTTGAATTTTATAATATTTTTTTATTTTTTTTTGAAAATTTGAAACCCTAAAGTTAAAATTTCATCCCTTAACTCTAGACCTAAATCTAGGTTAGTTAATCTAATAATATACATATGTATATTTAACTTTTAATAAAAAAAAATATTTTGATTATTTTACTCTTTAAATACTGTTTTGTGAAAATAAATTTAAAAAGACTATCAATGGAATTTTTCAATGCTATATCATAATATTGTTTTCTATCACCTCTTTTTTCGTTAAAGATAAGTACCCTGCTATCAAATTCCCATTTGCTGCGCATTCTCACAAAGTGACTGGCATAAACTTATTAAGATTGCTGGAACCCAAATTTTAAGAATATATATTATATATATTGACACAATATTTCCTACTATAAAATTTTTTAACATATAAAACATAGATCATAACCTTTTATATTGATTTTATACCGATTTTCTACCTTTTATTATCTTCTGTCTTGCCACAATAGCATTTAAGGGAAATAATAATAACACAATAAATTTTCATTTAAAAAAAAAAAACAAAAAAGAAAAAAACAAGCCAGGAGAGCTAATCTGAGTCGTTTGCCTCTGTCAGCTTGGTTCGGACCGACCTCGTACCTTCTTCGCTTTTGTCTTGTCCCCAAGCTTAGAGGCTCCACCGTCTCCTCCTCCGCCTCCCCTCCGTCCAAGCCAACGACTTCACCGCTTGCGTGTGGCTTCTTCTATAAATCCCTAAAATTGCTACTCACTGATCAACGCCTCTCTGTTTCTTCGGAGGAGCGCGGCGGAGATCAGCTTCTCCTATGTCTTCTCGCTGTTCTCTAGCCGCTTGATTTCGTCTCTTTGCGGCTGCATACTTTCATCACTAACACACACAATCTCCTCTTTCAGGCTCAGCCGTAAGTTTTTGTTAAACCCTAATCATCTCACTCATTTAGGGTTTGTTTATTCTCCTTTTGAAATTGCTATTTTGATTCAAAGTTTGGATTTTTCGTGACGAGGCGGAGTTGATACTGTGAAAGATCAAAACTTTAGCTTCATTATAATGTCAATAAGACAAAGATTTAATCTTTCTTCTTGTTATTGTTTCCTTGAAGGTAAACTAGCTTTAAGGTTTAGAAAATGGTTGAGCTAGAAGATAACACCGAGAGGGAGAATTCACCAGTTGTAGAGAATGGTTTCACCAATGGATCTCTGTCTTCTCCCACCAATGATACACTCTCTTACGCCAATGTTCTTAGGGCAAGAAACAAGTTTTCTGATGCGCTTACTCTCTACGAGGCTATGCTTGAGAAAGATAGCAAGAACGTTGAAGCTCTCATTGGGAAAGGGATATGTTTGCAGACGCAGAGCAAAGGGAATCTTGCTTTTGATTGTTTCTCGGAAGCAATAAGGTTGGATCCCGGTAATGCTTGTGCGCTTACGCACTGTGGTATACTTCATAAAGAAGAAGGGAGGCTCGTCGAAGCTGCTGAGGTGTGACATTACCTTTTTAATCTATCTGTGTGCTTATTTGTTTATAATGTGAAAGTCATTAACTTATAATCGTCAAACTTTGTAACAGTCCTACCAGAGAGCACTGATGGCAGATGCATCGTACAAGCCAGCAGCTGAGTGTTTAGCCATTGTTTTGACGGATCTTGGAACTAGCCTCAAGCTGGCTGGGAATACGCAGGAGGGGATTCAAAAGTATTATGAAGCTCTTAAGATTGACCCGCACTATGCTGTAATCTTTTTTTCTGAGACCTCTACTTTTTCATTCTAATGTATGTGGTTTGCCTTGGTACCATTTGATTGATTCTTTGTTTCTCAATGCTAAATGTGCAGCCTGCGTATTACAACTTAGGTGTTGTGTACTCGGAAATGATGCAATATGACAGTGCCTTGGGATGCTACGAGAAGGCTGCACTTGAGAGGCCTATGTATGCAGAAGCGTATTGTAACATGGGTGTCATCTATAAGAACCGTGGTGACCTAGAGATGGCAATCACTTGTTATGAGAGGTAACATATTTGTTATTTCTTTGCTAAGTTTTGATTGATGTCTTACTGCTTTGTTGAAGGTACAAGTGTGACACTGATGTATTTTCTTCTTCTTTTGCCATTAGATGTCTAGCTGTATCTCCAAACTTTGAGATTGCGAAGAATAATATGGCCATAGCTCTGACAGATTTAGGAACAAAGGTAATAATCCTTTTTACTTTTATCAAAATCTTGGTAGCTCAAATAGAACTTTTCAAAAGGGGGACCTTTTGGAAAATTTCTTATTAACTTCGCTTTGTTTTATGTCATGGCATTGTATGAATATGTTTCTTTACTACTGAAGATTTCCACTGTAGAATTTTGTTTGCAGTTCACAGTTTGGCTAATCCTTCTGTTTAGTTGTTCAGCTATGAGTCCATCTGAATTGTCAATGATATTTCAGGTTAAACTTGAAGGCGATGTCAGCCAAGGGGTGGAATATTACAAGAAGGCTCTTTATTATAACTGGCACTATGCAGATGCTATGTATAATCTTGGGGTGGCTTATGGTGAAATGCTGAAGTTTGATAGGGTATTTAATTTGTGATTTATTCATTTATCTAATTCAGTAATTATGTGCTTGGTTTTGAGTGTTTATCCTTTATTTGCCTCGGCATTTGCATGATAAATTTATCAATATCTTACTAAGTTTGTCTACCTATATTTGCGTCCTTCCCTTCATGTTCTTGTAATCATTATAAAACTCTGACGTAGATTCCTCATTATTAGAATGAGAAATGTAGAGCCAAAGAATGAAAAGTTTCTGTCGTCATGTGTTCTCTTTGTGCAGGCAATTGTCTTCTATGAGCTTGCATTCCACTTCAATCCACATTGTGCTGAGGCTTGCAACAATTTGGGAGTACTCTACAAAGACCGTGATAACCTTGATAAAGCTGTTGAGTGTTATCAGGTACCATATAATATATATGCAGACTCTGCAGCGCTTGATGATTTTTTCAATGTCTTTTGAGGCTAATTTATACACCCAACCTTTGTAGATGGCTCTGTCAATCAAACCAAACTTTGCACAGTCGCTTAACAACCTTGGTGTCGTCTACACAGTCCAGGTTTGATATAGATTAAGGATGGTTTTATGTTTTCTTAATAGATTCTGTAGAGTCAATACTCAATACTCAAGGCTATTTTTTTCTGTTATTACAGGGGAAAATGGATGCTGCTGCCGACATGATCGAAAAGGCAATCCTTGCAAATCCCACTTATGCAGAAGCTTTTAACAACTTAGGTTTGAGTTCTCGCTTCTGTTCTTTACATGGCCTTAGCTCCTAAGTGTCGTTTAGTTTCTGTTATAACCAGTTTCATTGTGATATTCAAATGTAGGTGTTCTTTATAGAGACGCTGGAAACATAACGGCAGCTATTGATGCTTATGAGGAATGCCTTAAGATAGATCCAGATTCTCGCAATGCTGGCCAGGTAAAAATTCCTTATTTAAGCGTGCTTTTCTTCATATGACGTTGGAAGATATACAGGTTTTGAAACCTACCTTTACATTATGTAGAACCGTTTACTTGCCATGAACTACATAAATGAAGGGCTCGATGACAAACTATTTGAAGCTCACAGGTTAGTACATATATTACGACTAGTTTTGATTTCTATTCTATTGCTTTTATGGGACTTACAGTGAGAAAATCTTTATGGACACAGAGACTGGGGTTGGCGCTTCACAAGATTACACCCACAGTACACTTCGTGGGATAATATTAAAGATCCAGAGCGACCTATCACCATCGGATATATCTCCCCAGACTTCTTCACTCATTCAGTTTCTTATTTCATTGAAGCTCCCCTCACGCATCATGATTACACAAAGTACAGAGTTGTGGTTTATTCAGCTGTAGTTAAGGTATAGTTTTTCTTAGAAAAAAAATTCTCCCTAGATGAGTATGCTTTTCGTAGCATTTTTTTTTTCTTTTTAATTATCCTTTTTTCTCATGGTTTTGCAGGCAGATGCAAAAACATTCAGGTTTAGGGATAAAGTGTTGAAGAAAGGTGGAGAGTGGAAAGATATATACGGAATAGATGAGAAAAAGATTGCAAGTATGGTTAGAGAAGACAAAGTCGACATTCTAGTAGAACTCACTGGCCATACAGCGAATAACAAGCTGGGAACAATGGCCTGCAGACCAGCACCTGTTCAGGTTAGAGGATTAATAAAAGTATCTCAATATCTTTTTTTTTGTGATTTTAGATTTCAAGTTCACTTTAATTGGTTGGAACTATCAGGTTACTTGGATTGGCTATCCAAATACTACGGGTTTGCCCACTGTTGATTACAGAATCACGGATTCGTTAGCTGATCCACCAAATACCAAACAGAAGTACGTTCTTGTTCATAACAAAATGTTTTTTCTTTTGGGTTTCAGAGTGATATAATTAGAGTCCTGAGTATTTCTTTTTGTGTGTATTTAATTGCAGACAGGTCGAAGAGCTGGTTAGGCTTCCGGAGTGTTTTCTTTGTTATACACCATCCCCAGAGGCTGGTCCTGTTTGTCCAACACCTGCCCTTTCTAATGGCTTTGTCACATTTGGTAGTTTCAACAATCTCGCAAAGGTTTGATATACTTGTCCTTGGATATACACATTAAACAACCTCCATAGTATCCCTTTTAAAGGTTTTATCTCTGCGTTTCTGCCATCAGATCACTCCTAAGGTGCTGCAAGTATGGGCTAGGATACTGTGTGCAGTTCCCAACTCTCGCCTGGTGGTGAAATGCAAACCTTTCTGCTCTGACAGCATTAGACAGAGGTTTCTGACGACGCTGGAGCAGCTTGGGTTAGAATCAAAGCGCGTTGATCTCTTGCCGCTTATTCTTTTCAACCACGACCATATGCAAGCTTATTCCTTAATGGATATAAGGTAACTTTTGATACATTGTATTACTCTAAAATGCCGAGGGTAATAGATTTACGTATGAGATTATGAGTATGATTTACATTCTAAATGCAGTTTGGACACATTCCCTTATGCTGGAACTACCACTACCTGTGAATCTCTCTACATGGGAGTTCCATGTGTTACTATGGCTGGTTCAGTACATGCTCATAATGTTGGTGTCAGTCTTCTCAGTAAAGTTGGTAAGCACTCGGTGCTAAAATTGGGTTTTTTTTTAACTCGGTATATCGTTTAGCTTATGCAACCCGTTTATTTGATTCAGGTTTAGGACGCCTGGTTGCTAAAAATGAGGATGAGTATGTGCAGTTATCTGTTGATCTAGCTTCTGATGTCACAGCTCTTTCAAAACTGAGAATGAGTCTCAGGGATCTAATGGCTGGATCTCCTGTCTGTAACGGTCCTTCCTTTGCTGTTGCTCTTGAATCCGCATACCGAAAAATGTGGAAAAACTACTGCAAAGGTGAAGTACCGTCCTCAAGGCGAATGGAAAAGCTGCAAAAAGAGGTCCAGGAAGAGCCCTTACTCTCAAAAGACTTGGGATCATCAAGACTCAACGTTAATGGAGAAGCCACTCCTTCTCTCAAGGCCAATGGTTCTGCTCCTGTTCCTTCTTCCTTACCAACCTAATCCTGACAGCTCTCAAAGAAAATGGACTCCACTAGTTAAAGTCAGAAGCAGGATAACAGAGATACCATCAAGCAGCGGTGTATGCCGGATTATAGAACTTTGAGAAAACGTAATGCATTTGCAGATTCTGGACCCATATGGGTGAAGATGTTAAGAGAGTCCATGAGATCTTCCTCCTTCTTTACTTCCATTAGTGTAGGAACTAGACTTTTAGATTACTGTTTGTGTAGTAAAAAGAATAGTAAAATCACTCTCTTTTTTTTTTGGTTTTCTCTTTATGGAGTCTTAGTTTAGGTTTATAATGATTCTTGGGAAGTCTAGGTGGAAGTGGATTTGGAGTATTTCTTCTCATCTGAGAGATCAAGTTGTTGTATCAGTTAAAGGTTGGAGTATTTCTTTTTTTCTTTAGGATGCTTTCATATAATAGTGAATATAGTTTTATAGCCAAATAGTTGGCATATTCCAAGGAGACAAGTGAAGACCATAAATTATGAAAACGCTATTATTTAGTTAAAGTCTACAAGCTGTTGACTTGTATTATTATTTACTCAAGTCTGCCAACTCCATATCTCTTGTATTAATTAGTATGGAGATTGGAGAGAGTAAAAAAGCAAGCAACTACTCTTCACTTCCCACTTCATCTGCTCCATTTCATTCCACCAAAACCCTAAAAATTCCTATAAAAGCCCTAATCTCGTTACTTTTCTTCACCACCAAAGCATCAAACATTCTATTATTGATTATCCTTTTCAAAACAACACAAAACACTAATTAATCTTAAGAAAGATGAAGAACGAATCAACCATCATTGATGTTCCTGCAGAAACCAGCTCAGCCATGAAAGGAAAAGCTCCTCTAATCGGTATGGCTAAAGACCACACTACTAGTGCCTCAGGTGGATACAAGAGAGGTCTCTCAATCTTTGACTTCCTACTCCGTCTAGCTGCAATTATTGCAGCATCAGTAGCAGCTGGAACCATGTTTACAAGCGACGAGACTCTTCCTTTCTTCACACAGTTCTTGCAGTTCGAAGCGGGTTACGACGACCTACCAACTTACCAGTTACGAGTTCATTGATATCTGATCGATTACACTGTTTGCCTTGTGTAGCAAGTCACCTTAATTATGTCATGTGTTGTTTTCAGGTTCTTTGTGATTGCCATGTCCATGGTTTCAGGCTATCTCGTCCTATCTCTTCCCATCTCTGTCGTCACCATAGTTCGCCCTCTCGCCACCGCTCCAAGACTCCTCTTGCTCGTTCTTGATACTGTACATTCTCAAAACCTTTTTCAATATATATTGCTCCTTCAGTTTTTTTTTCTTTGCCAAAACTCCTTTTTAATTACATTTTAAAACTATTATTTTTGTTAGATAACGTTTTCAGTTTTTAATTTAAAATTTATTAATTTCATATGATCTGTTATATTATGCAGATTGTAAATGATTTGTTAAATTAAATTTTGGTAGATAATTAATAATGTTTTTTTTGTTTAAAGAACGATTAAACTAATTATTTCTTCAATTTTTATTGATAGTTTTAAAACATTATCTAACAACTAAATGTAGATTTTAAGTGACCTGCTAACAACTAAAATATATGTGAATTAATCAGGCGGCCCTGGCGTTTAACATGGCGGCTGCATCATCGGCAGCAGCAATATCGTATCTAGCACACAATGGGAACCAGAACACGAACTGGCTCCCCATTTGCCAACAGTTTGGTGACTTCTGTCTGAAAAGCAGCGGAGCTGTTGTCTCCTCTTTTGTAGCCGTTGTCTTTTTCACCATCCTCGTAGTTCTCTCAGGTGTTGCTCTCAAAAGGCACTAGTCAACACCCTTTCTTAATGTGTGTTCATCATTATTGTAAAACTATTTTACATACGTCCTCTGTGTAATTACTCATCTTGCCTTGTGTATGTTGTATCAATCTTTTAAAAAGGAAAAAAAATGAAAGTGTGATTGTAGCTCTGCTTTTGTGAAAGAAAAAAAAAAGAAATGATTTCTCAAATCTCATCTTTATTATAGACTTATTATAATTCAAAAATAACTTTACAGACAAATTTGTGTTCACTTTGTCCGAACTACTCCAAGCTACATCTTTAATTAGTTTCTTTATACAAAACTGTTGAGCTAAACCTGTGGAGTGTTAACGTTTCTCATTCACAGCTCCATTCTTTTTAGTATGTGACTAATATAAAATGAGTAAGCTACTCTGAACAGGTTACAGCGGTTGGTTACACAGCTATGCTAGCTGCAATTCAAAGATATGTGCCAGGCCTGGTACATACACCTTCTCTGTATATAGATGCCATGGCATGTGACTAGAAAGAATCGTTATATACTTGTACCTCTTTTCATTTTGTTGTGTAATTCATTGCCAGCAGCTGCGCATAGAGAATCTCATTCCATGTGTCAGGTACACCAGGTAAGCACCAGTGACTACAATCTTGAGGAGCATCTTCAGGAGTTCCAGGCTCTCTATACCGTGAAGGATGAGCATCTTTTCTGAACTCGGTCAGATATGTAATGTTCAAAAACTTAACCTTACTATGTTCATGTCTCATTTCTTGTATTACTTCAGAGACATAGTTGTTTTGGATTGGGTCTGGTTCCATCCTCCTCATATCAGTCTCTGGCTCTCTATCAGCATCACACAAACCACCTAAGTTCCATGTCCCATTCCTGCAATAACCCAAACATCTTTAAGACTCTTGTCTTATTCCCCCTCATAGATTGTTGTAAAAACAGACCTGTAGTGCACAGGAGAGAAGCTTCTGAAGAAGACATAACTACTCTTAGAATCTAGTTTCTCTAAAACCCATGACTTCCATGTCTTTAATGACTTCTCAAACCCCTCCATGACTCCCATTGTCTTGTTCAACTTACCTCCCTCCTGAAAATAGCAACCACTGCAACAACAACAAATTTTAAGAGCAATTTACATACATATAGGCCTCTAAATTTGTAAAAAAAAAAAAAATATAAATCTTACTAAATTGTCTATATGTTTTAAAATTATATAAGCTCTTACTAAATTGTCTATATGTTTTAATGAAGTTCTTACATGTTGAAGGTTTTGTCTTCGTTCCACCAATGTCCTGTATTAAAGACAAGAACATCAGAGCCGACCCATTTTTTCGCTTGCCAGTTAAACTCATCGACTCTAACGGTCATCTTGACATCTTCCGGTGAGTTCTCAGGTGGTCGAGCAACCACGACCAGAAACGGTGTTCTATGATACTCCACGGTGAGGTTATGTTCAGGAAACCGCATTGAAAGGAAACCCTTATGCTTGCTTATAGGGTTACCATAAACTTCATATATCTCAGACTTATTAGACACAGCTTGTGAAAGCATACACAAAAGAGATTCCCATTGGTTTCTTCCGATGGAATCTCCGATGAACACAACTCTCCCGTTCCTACTCCTCTCCAGAAAATCACTTGCGTTGAATCTATAATTGTTTCAGACCATATAAACCAAGTCACCATAGTTTGAACAAATAAAGTAAAAAATATATATTGAACTTGATTGGCGCCAGATTCATATTCAAAGATCAAAAAGTTTTAATCATTAAACCAAAGAAACAGTTGTAAAATTCATTTTAGCAAATTAAAGTGTGCACTTTTATTTTATATGAAAATGGGTTTTTACTGTATTTTACTTTTTCAAAATAGCTAGGAGGTCCTCATCATATAGGTCTGTACAACGGATGAAGTTTATATCATGTTAAATTAACTCAATATATTTTAGTTAAATCTTAATGAACGAGTCTTGAACTTGTAACCTTTTTAAAATCATAGTATAATCTTTAGGAGATTCAATGAGTATTTGAAGATACTTAGAGTAATTTCTAGATGACTTTAGGTGAATTATAGAACTTACTAGATTTTTAGTCAAAAGTTAAAACACTTAGATATTCCATCTAAAACTAGTATTAGATTTGAGGTTTTATATATTTAACCAAGAAACACTACCAATACATTCTAAAATCATTAGAAATTAAATTCACTATACAAATATTTTCAAAAACAATTGATGTTTATAGCATATTTTAAAATAATAAGTTTTTAAAATAAAAAAAAAAATTGAAATTCATTTTCAAATAACAGTGCATTTATCTGTTTGATACCAATCATTTCAACTTCTAGAATCTAGATTGAAGACGCCCTAGAGTTTTATCCATTATGCCAACTTTTGGTTATTATTGGCTTTGTACCATTTTAGAAGCATTGTATTGTAAATCTATAACTCTAATGGATCAATGAATTGCTGGTAACCCTAGATGTGTATTTCAATCAAGACCAATCGATACCTTAAGTTCCAAGGAAAAAAATTACATAAAGGATGTGACAACATACCGTGGAAGATCGCAACCGTGTGGTTGCCATCGCCATTGTCGGAAACCAGAATCTTTTCTTCCATTATTCAAACAACGAAAGCCAGGGTCCAGAAACCGACACTCTTCTCCATAAGAGGTTCCGTCCACGTCACGTTGTCGGCTACGAACCCATTTTCCGTTCGAATAGTCGCATACATCGTCGCCTCTTCGTTCCTTCGTCGATGAAGAAGAGAAGAATCCGAAACAGAGATGAGGCTTGATGCCGACAAGATCCACGACGGTAACGGAGAATATCAAGAAACTGACGAGAAGAGAGATTCCGACGAATATATGTTTCTTGATCTTGAAGGTTGAGAAGAAAGGAGATGGAGATAGAGGGAAGAGTTGCTTTAGAGAATTTGATTCTTGATTATGATCCATGTCGGCACAAGATTTTGATCTTTCTTTGTAAAGAGGAGACGTGAAAATTGTGAATATGCGATCTTCTTTTTTCTGACAGGGGAAAGTATTAATAAACATATATATGTTCCTGTAACGCAATAAATTCGTAATTAAATTATTATTAGATCCACTATCAATTCATCCATGTGACAGACACAAATATTAATTGATGCATCCCACAAAAATCAATTAACGTATAATAAAATACGTTTCCTACCATGTTCGCTTCGACATGTTTTAGATCGAGATGACTATTGATTTCGTAAGATAATTCAAAATTAAAACTGTAATTTATTTTTCATCTGAACAATAAAATAAAGCTAGTTATACATCAGTTTGATGATTTTCTTCTGGTAACTAACGCGTGTGGCTTTCAGTTTGTACTAATCAAAGAAGAAATGTTGTTATATATATTTAAGAAAATATTTTATTTATTTTAGTCTTTTTTGCTAAAATTTCATTTATTTTAATTGTGACTAAAAATCGTACATTACACAAATAGCACATGCTAATTTCCTTTATATTTTTCAAAAAGTAAAAATCCTATTTTTACAGTATTAATGGAAATGAAGAAACAAAACGAGATTGAAGAATCAAACGATTATTTCCATTAAAAGAAAGTATTGTTAATCCTCCTATATATTAAATGAGAAGTCATTTTAGTGATTTCTGGATGAACGATATATATTAAATGGTAAGTCACTTTAGTGATTTCTGGTGACATGTCGTTCTTAGGTGAAGTTTCAAGAAATTGTTATAATTTGATTGATTGATTATTCTTAATTTTTATTTATTTAATTTAAATCTAAAAATTTAAGGTAAGTCTAAAATCATTTAACACCACTTGCCATATAATTTAAAGAATATTACAAATAACAATTTATGGAAACTAATTCTCGAAATTATAGAAAGATTATTATGTTTTATTTATTACTTTTAATATTCATAAACTATAAAATATAATGAACGAAATTTTATAAAAGATAATTATAATAGTTTTATACTCTACTTGATGAATCGTATTCAAATATAATTATATAATAGCTATTTTAAATATTACAAAACCCAAACATATTTATTAATATTATTTTAAAATTATTTAGCATCGCTTAAAGAATAAATTTATCTGAATTTTAAAATAAGTTATAAAATGTTATAAATTATTTATAAAAAGATAAAACCTACTATATATTGATTGAGAAATAACATAAGTGATTTTTTTATTACGTGCATGAATGGACTCTTTAAATTGTTATAACTTGAATGGCCGATGATTTTTAATTTTATTTGTTATAATTATATTTTAAGGATAACTCAATTACAGCTTTCCATAATCTACTTAATTTTAAGAAATAATTATTTATGGTAACTAATTGTTGAAACTATGAAAGAGTAATAATGTGATCATTTTCTATATATATTTATGAATTACATAAAATAATAAACAAAAATGTTTATTTGAATTGAATATAATGATTTTATATTCGTATAGAAAGCCTTATATTTGTATATAAAGTATCATAATAACTATTTAATGTTTAATAAATTTCATGCATGCTTTATAAATCATTTATAAAATTATAAATAAATTTAGAAATTATTTATATTGCCTTATCAGATGTTTTAAATTATTATATGAGGTTCTAAGTCATTTATAGAAGCTTATATATATTAATTTATAAAATTTATTTTGAAAAATTAGTTTATATTAAATGGGAACTCACTTAATTAATATTTTTAGGTGTCTTTGAGTTTTAGAAAAACTATTCTAATTTGATTCGTTAATAATTTTTCTATTTTATTTATTTTATGAGTAATAAAATCACATTTAGAACCAAATTTTATCAGTATCCAAGTGATATAAATATAAAATAATTTATGGTAATTAAATATGTGAGTTATAAAAATATGTAATGCTCATAAAATCATTTTATTACACAAGTATTTATAAACTATATAATATATTTAATTTATATAATTGATATAGTAGTTTTATATTGGGTAAGCGACCTATTCTAATTACACACAATTAAACTATATCAACCTATTTTCTCTAAAAAGAAAGATTGAAACCCGATTCCCCCTAAAGTTTGAAGAATGTACTAATACCAACAAATGACGGTTTAAAGTAGGTTTAGTATTCTTTGTTTTCTGATTTTTTAGTTTTTCGAGTTCCAAAAGAGGTGAATCGGTTA